TAAGTCTAAGGAATATGATTGCCTAAGACCTTCAAAGGCATTCGCAAAATCTAACCTCCTCCTCCTTGCCCAAAAGAAGGAAGAGAGTACAAACAAAATAAGCGTGATTGGACACTTGTGGCTGTGTGACATCCCATTTGACCCATTGGTTTTAAGTGAAGCAAACTGGCCCCTTAACCCCAGTTGCAGGAAATTTTCTTCCAATAATTACCAAGAGTCTGAAACCTCATTCCTTGTGTGATACTCAAAAAGATGCAATAAAGTAACACATGCCTTTCTGACTTTATTAAAAGATTTACTGAGTTTACCAAATACTTCAGCTTTCCAGACCTCATACCTGAAGGCCAGAAGGCCCTCATTATTTCCATTTCTGACACAAAAGTGGGAGGAGCTGACTGACTACAGGGCATAAGGGTGGAAAGCTTTACAGGTCCCTATGGAAAGGAAGTGGTCGGGGCAGAGCAGTCTGCAGTGGTGGTGGGTGGCTATTTCTGACACCTCCCCATCCTTTCCTTCTAAGTAGAAAACCCAGTTCCTGAGGGCTACATCCCACTGACTTAAGTAATATCTCTCACAGGAAATACATTACAACTTGTTTTAATTGATGTTTATTTAGAGTTTCACAGCATGTTGCTTTCTAAGGTAATCTATAGTTAAGATCCCTTTCGTCTTACTTCAAAATAAACCACTCTGCTGACTTCTCCGAAGCCTCCATACTCCAGAATCCAAGAGGACACCAAGTACAAATTCAACACCTTCTGGTCAAGGACTCTGTGATGACGGGAGAGGTCACATGATCATTATTTGCTTGTAGCCACTCAGATCAGCTTAGGAGTTACTTCTGTGAAACATTTCCTCTTTCCATCCACTCCCTTCTATGAATTCACCTGACCTTTTCCAACTATCTCTATCGGAATCCTCCTACCATAACATCTATTTCCTGTACACTGCTCATTTCCACTTTTGAGTCTCTCAACAGAAGAAACAAAATTTTATTCATCTTTAAATATACCTCTCCCAGCTCACTACAGAGTATTTACTTGCTAAAAAGCTCTCTGAGGAATTAATTCAGACATAACCAGAGCTTCACTAAACCACCGTCCCTGTGATTTTTGGTTTCCATCATCTACCAAATAAACATTGCACTGATGTGTTTTCTGAGATAATTATGTAGTTATATCTGATTGCCAAGTACTTCAAGACCATAAAAAAACTTTATAAATGCCAACCATGATTATAACCCTTTGAAACAATGGGATGTATGGTTAACAAGTTGAGAAAGATGAGACATAACAGGTAATTCTTCCTGCTCAGTCCCTGTTTCTATCCCCTCCCACCACCAGGCAGTAACTCAAAAACAAAAACATAAATGTGGATGAAGAGAAGGAGGCTTAGCCCAGGTCTGCATAGGATTTTTAGGAGCTGCAACACCACACTGCTGTCCTGTAGGATGACACCTCAGTTTGATAAGAGGGGTCCAGGACATGTACACACATACACGAACACACTTTCACACATGTGGACTCACACAAGTGATAGTTGGTTCATGACTGAAATGGAAAAATCAAACCACTCAGTCTTCTATATGTAAAGTTGCTCTGTTCTTCAAAAGCAGATGATTAGTAAGTTGCAAGAGGAGCTAGTAAGGCTAAAATACCGTCAAACTCTGAAATGAGTCTCTCCAGTGGCTGGCCCACTGAGCAGAGACTCAGGGCATGTCTTGTTCATTTTTCTCTCTCCTCGAGCATAACATGAACTTTCCAGTAAAAGTGTGTCTTGAGAATAAATAGAGCTTCACAGTTTCCTCCCAGCAACATGTAAAGAAAAGGGAAGTTCGGAACACTCTGGTTATTTTATTGTGGATCTTAACAAGATCTTTGATGCCAGAGCTGACTCCACCAGAGCTTAACCCAGCCTTTCACTCGACAACTGCATCCACTGGAGAGCAAACCAGGATCCACGCTCAGAGTGTTCCAGACAGGACACTGCTTGGCCTCAGAGGTCAGCAATAGGCACTGAGAATGCTGTGATTTTCAGAGGAGGAGGAAAGCTGGGGCGCGAATGAAAAGGAGGAAAGTTGGGGGTGTGCATGTGGGGATGGGGTGGTTGGCAGAATGAATCCTCAGCCTTAAGGAGCAGGCTCAAAGAATGACGGATACTATTTTTACTTGTCGTGATGTGCCTGAAGACATCAACAAGGTCCAAAACAAGACACGCACTATGTCTCACACTGGAACATCACATTATCTGGAGGAGAGGATTTGTGGGTGGGCTGCTGGAACTAGGTGGGGAGATCACATCATAGGCCTCTTGGCAGGAGGCGGAGAGCACGCACAGCCATGGGCCCGTGGTTTAGAATTTTTGCCAAATGGCTCCTGCTTCTGGATGTGGACTGGATTTCAGCTTTTTTCCCACTTCTCATCCATACTATTGTCAGTTGCCTCAGAATGTTTAATGCTTTGGCAAAAGCTGCCAGTGAGGTGGCCCCCTATTACCTCTTTATTTTTTGACGTCAGTGAGGGAGTTGTTCCCTGTGGCTGTCTTACGGGAAATAATTCAGCATTTGTACTTCAATTAAAATTCACGGCTATATATTATTAAATGGCTCTGACTCATTGCATGGCTTCTTTTCAGCTGATTAAATGCCAAAAATGTTACATATCCGTCATTGACGATGTGTGCATTAAAACTATGGTTCCTCGTCAACGGACAGAAAGGGCTGTGAGGAAAACAAAACACATCAGAGGGTCAGAGGATACCTTGGTCCTGCGGGGATCTTTTCTTTAGAAGTTTGAGCTCGAGGTCCTGCCTGCCTTTGAGAGAGAGAGAAAATAGAAACTTGAATCCTCTCCCTTCTTGGGAGTTTTATGAAAGCGGCTTTGGGCACAAGGTATTAGACACGGGATTGCAGCAATCTGAATCACACAGCTCATATTCAGTGCATCTCAAGGAGTGATGCCGACCTGATTGTCATACATCCCTCAGCAGAGGGACCAGAGAGAGCAAGTTTTCATGATCTTATAACATCTGACTTCTCATCGCCTGGGAGGATGACCAGGCAGCAGCAGTCCTGATGCTCTTTGATCCCGTCTGGCTCAGAAAGTTGTACTTGGCTCAGTCGTGGTCATTCCATGTGAAGGGACAAGTGATGACTTCTCCGCTCTCCTTTGGGCCTTGCATTCCAAGCTCACCACCCCTTCCTCTTCCTATGATGACATGCTCTGTGTTAGAAGCATCAGTACAATAATGCGATGAAAGCAGAGCCACTATGAACTGCTGGCTTCTTCCACACAGAAGGGACAATCATCAAGGGAAATGCGAGCTCTCCATGTGACACATGTGGAGACTCCAAACACTGAGGTTTTGTTAAGCGTCCCCTCAGACCACAAACACCACCCTTATGTGAAATGGAATGGCTCTGTTTCCCCACTGACCCACACCTGCAGACTGATGGGTTAGTGAGCAAGTCTTTGGCCAAATGGATAAAGAGACCTTACCCCCCAAGTGGAACAAGCTCTGTGCCTGGATTCTTGCCTCCTCTGCTCTTGGCCAGACATTCTTGTGTTACCAAACTCAGCAGCTTTAGGGTTAGCCCCGGCTCTGGCTGTTCTAATTCTGTAACCACAGGACCATCCTTGAGCCTCAGTTTCTACCCAAATGGAAAGACAAAATTGGACTGGGATTGCTGAAGTTTCTCCAGCTCTAAGAGCTCAATGCCAAGATAGTTTTTTGTCCCATTCTTCCACAAAAGGAACTCTCTAGCACACTGGCATCGAATGCCACTCCCTAAATATTTGGATGAAATTATGTATGGCTTAATGTGAAGCAGATTAAAAACAAACGCGTAAGGACAGACATGATGTTCCAGGTGTAAAGCAGCATGGTGAACCAGCCCAGCAGGAATAACCGCCTGTGCTGTTAGTAAAGGCACAACTCGGGTCTCTCACCAGGACATCTCTGGAGGCCTCTGCCCACTTCCCGGGGAGCTGATGATCGGATCCTAGCCAAAGCCCTCGCCTCTCCTAGAGCACTCAACGTACCCAGGAAGCAGAAGCTCTGAGGAGCCAATGAACTGTTTTATTTGCTGATGTCTTGTTGCCAGAAAACAGAAATCAGATCCCTGCCCAGATTCTGCTATCAGCAAATCTGAGTGCCAGGAAGCACTTCACTGGGGCAAAGCAAACAAATAACAAAGCACTGGATCTGCGAGCCCTAAAAATGGGGTGTAAAGTTGTGTAATCACACACCTGTAATGAATCCACTCACACTCCTCCTAGTGTCTGCAGAAATCAGCTCCATCCTATTTGTGGAGATTTTCACAAAGAATTTTCTGTTTTTTCTTTGTATTTGAGTGACAGTGAGGGGGTTGCTTCTCAAAACAATTATAAATAATGATGTCATTCTGAGAAGCAGAAAATCGAAGTCCAGAAAGGGAAAAAGGACAGTTCCAGGTCACACAGCAAGGCAAACCTGACAGGGTTGGAATTATAATCTAATGCTCTTTCCACACTCCCGTGAAGGAATTGTAACCAGAAGGTTTGGAAAGGCAAACAGATGGCACATCAATCACTGAAACTCATTTTTTTCTTTCTTTCTTTCTTTCTTTCTTTTTTTTTTTTTTTTTTTTTTTTGTTTCTTTTGGAGAGTGAATGTTCTAACCATTAACCAAGGTGGTGAATGGCAGAAGTAAATTTTACCTCTACCAGTGCCACCCAGCAAAGCTGATGATCTGTCTGTAGTTTAGCACATCCTGGCTCCCTGTGGGTAAAGTAAAGCCAACTAGAGAGCGCAATGTCCCTGCTGTTCCCGCTAGCACTGGACTCAAGAACCAGACATTATTGATTATTGGGATGCACAACTCAGTTCACCAAGCAGCTCTGCCCTTCCAAAGGAGCTTCCCTTCCTCCGAACCAAGGTGTCACTGAAGGGACTGAGAGGGCCATAAAAGCACTCTCTGAAGAGAAAATACATCCTGGGAGAAGACAAGTGAAAACCAGACATGAAAATAAGGGTCCTTTTATTAAGCAGCTCAGACACAAGCAGGGTCTGTGAGCTGTACAGCAACCATAGGGAGGGGCAGATGAAGCCTGGGGTCAACAGGGGTGTGTTTCCTGACTGGAACACAAAGCATTCCTCTCCTCCAGTGGCTGTGATGCTCCAGCGGCCCCCTGTGGTGCCCTGTGCCGTGGGGGACTAAGGTGTTGTTCCGAGGTTGCTGGCAAGGCCATTCCACTTCAGCTGCCATATGACTTCCAACTGCCAGGATACCCCTCCAGTGCACTGGCGGCAATGGATCAGAGCTTCCAATGTAAATTGCCCCCCTGGTGAAAATGCCAGAGCCACAGAGCCACCACGGGGCCCTGGAAAGACCGGTGACCCTATCTCACAGTCCTTGTCTGTGGCTCCTTCCTGGAGCCTGGATGCCTTCTGTGCCCCTGAGGGCTGAGGCAACGCAGATTCTACCAGAGGGCTTACCAAGCTGAGCTGGCACTGGCGACAGAGGAGGCCGAGCTCAGGGTCAGGACATTGGGGACAGATACTACTGAAAGGCAATAAGCCAGAAAGGCCACCAAGACCAAGGCACATGCTAACTTTAGGCCTGGGGAATGCACCAGAGCTGTGCTTTTACAAAGGACGAGCTTATTCCCTCTGATCTGTGTCCATGCAATAAAGTGTGTGTGTGTTTCTGTGCATGTTTCTGGACATGTGTGTTGTATTTTTGTGTGTGTGTAGTGCATGTCTGTATATGTCATCAGTGTGTGCAGTGTATATTTCTGTATGCTATACATGGTGGGATTTTGTGTATCTGTGCGTTGTGTCTATTGGTATGGTATCGTATTTGTATATGGCTTGTTTCTGTATTTGAATATTATGTATTTGTGTGGTGTGTGAGTGTGTTGTCTGTGTAGTGCATTTGTTTGTGTTGTGATATGTGTTTATATAATGATGTATTATTTTGTAGGGATGACATGTGTTTGTATGTTTGTGTATTATGTCATACATATGGTGGGTCTTTGCATGTTTTTATGGTGCATTGTATGTGGTGTTTGAATATCTGCCTGTTGCTTGTGTGTAGTAGTATCTGTGTTATGTTGTACATGTGTTGTGCGTAGGTTGGTGCGGTGTGTGTGTGTGCTGGGTTGCATGTGTGTGGTGTGTGGTGTGTGGATGGACCGCTGACTGGGCTTCAAGAAGGTAACTGAAGAAAACCATGAAAGACAGAGTTAGAGGAAGCAAGGATCGATAGGAACAGAAAGGAGATCGAGCAACTCATATTAACCTGTTAATTTATACCACAATTCTGTACAAAAATAAAAAGGTTCTTCTAAGATTAACAACTTAAATAAATATTTCTTAGAACATTCTCGTTGTTATAGCTCATCCTTGGGGTTGATACTCAGTTCATGCTTCCCTTGCTGCTCTTGATCCAGAATTGCAATCACTTCATCGGCCTTTATTCGTTCCTGCAAAAAAAGACAAGAGACACATTTATGTGACAAACAAAATAACCAGTCCCAGCGGCAGATGGTTCTCAAATGCTCCCCGCTCCGTCTGTGCAGGAACTGGCGCTGAATCCAGCTGAGGATTCAACCTCATCTTCACTCCCAGACCAGGTTCTGGTCCTGACACTTTTATGTCCTTAGCGACTCCTTCTCGAGATTTTGTTCCTGCAAGGTTGTGCTGTGTGTTCGGCCACTGTCTTCTCTTTCAGCCTCATGACCTTACGGCCATCTCCCAGTGAGTGGGTTCAGTGTTCAGACTGAACTCATCATGTAATTCCCACAGATTTCTTCTGCTCTTTTCATGCTCTTCCCACACCAGATTACCACTTGCCTTCAAACACTGACCCTGATTTCTTCCTTCTGATAAGCCATCTGGTCCTGACCTTTATCCAATATCTGTCCCTTTGTCTTCAAGCAACACTGCTATCACATGACTGTAGGGCAGGGGTCCTCAACCTTGGCACTACTGATATTTTAGACCAGATAACTTCTTGCATGTGGGGCCATCCTGCGTGCTGTAGATGGCCAGCCATGCCCCTGGCCCTTATTTACCACAGGGAGCCAATAACATCTCTTCAAGTTGCAACCACAAAAATGTCCCAGCCATTGCCCAATGCCTCCAGAAGGGCAAATGCCTCTTCTTGGAAACTTGGTTGCTTCAGAAGCCTCCATGTTGGTCTCCTTGTTTCACAACTCAAAGGCCTTTCTCCATGGATCCTGCTTGCTTAAATCTGACCATACCCCTTCCCGGACAGAGCTCACAACATTGGAAGGACTTCCAGTTGCTAGAAGTTCCAGGTTCAGTGTTCTCAGTATGATTATGAAAAATCAACGGACGCAAATCTCTCTGTCCTCTTTAACCTTACTTTGTCTGCTTCCCTCTCCTCACCTTATAGTCCAGCTTTCCACCTTCCTAGCTGACCTCAAAGATGAAGACAGCATACCCCAGAGACCTCCCCAGTCCTTGTCTGGATGCTGTGCTGCTCTGGATGCTCTCTCTGTATCCTGTCTTTTCTGTTATGCCACATCGCTCATCTCAGACCCAGTCAGTCTGCCTGAAAATCCGTCAAAATTTTCCACTTCTTTTTCCATCTCTTTTAGTAGTAAGGCCAAGTGCAGACAGTAGCTAGACCAGTTTTGTGATTCTGGTAATTTCTCAGGACTGGGGATTTACTGAAAGGGGTGAGGTAGGATGCTTTCCCACAAGTTAGAAGAAAACTCACATTTGTTATTTGAGCCACAACACCCTTTCTGTATTCTACTTTCATACTACTTCCTTGCTTGCAGCAACATGTTCCTGTCCTCCCATCCTTCCTTTTTTCCTTCCTTTCTCCCTTCCTCCCTTCTTTCCTTCCTCCCTCTCTCCCTTCTTCCCTCCTTCCCTTCCTTTTTCTCTCCCTTTCTCCCTTTCTTCTCTCACTCTTCCTCTTCCTTTTTCTTTCTTCTTTCCTTCATTTGTTTCTTCCTTCTGTCAGTGTCTCTTTGTCTCTCTCTCTCTCTCTCTCATGTGCTGCAAAGTGAACCCAAGGCCCTGTACAAGACACTATAGCACTGAGATATCACCCCAGACTCTTCTTTTTTTCTTGATAACTTTAATGACTCTTGTCATTGGGCCTTTGCAAATTGTCCTCTGGCTGGAATACTCTGCTCCAGGTGTTTTTCTTTTTTGATCTTTTTGTGATTTAGTGCCTGAATCACACACTGGGAGAGACCTCTCTGTTTACTTGTCTCAAATCTGCTCTCTTGTGCCATTTTCCACCTGTAATCCAGCACAGTCAGAAAATGCTGCAATTGGTTATATTTTTGCGTATTTGTTTTCTGTTTCTTTCCTTTACAATGTAATCTCCAGCAGAACAGGGAATTTTGTATTGGTCACTGCCCTATTTCCAGTGCACACAAAACCTACTGACATTTGGCAAACACTCCTATATATTGGGTGAAAAATACACATTCATGGAAGAATGCCTTCCTTATCTAAAACTCTTCTCCCTAAATGGCTCTTACTACTCCTCCTCCTTGTGAGAAGAAAAAAAAAAGATCCATTTATATGCTATCTGTAAGAAACACATTTTGTTTCTAGAGACATAAAAAGAGTGACAATAATATGCTGGAAAACAATACTTTAAGCAGCCAGGTCAGGAAAGAACACAGGAGTAGTTCTGTGATGTGATCCAAATGTAAAGTGAAAGTTTAAATTTAAAGTTTGTAAATGATATACTGCATTAGTCCCGCTCAGAATCCCCCCGCCATGCTTTGAATACACTTATTCATCCTTCTTGTTATGTCTGAAGCAGTTCTGTAAGTCACCTTCCTAGACTATCTTCATCAGGCAGAATAAACAACATGCTGCTGCTATGGAAGTGCAGATTCTTAAAAACATGATGCTGTGTCCTCATCCACTGTCACTGGATCTGGTGCTGATCAACTTCTGGCTCTTCACCAAAGTCAGCATAATCATGCAATGTAAATGCTTTGAACTGGTTCAGGACAGGAAGACAGCCACAAAAGCTCTAAAAAAGATGCTTATGAAAGAGGATCTCTAGAACTGCTTCAGCAAGTGGCAAGAATTATGAAATAAGTGGGTTTAAAGTTAGCAGTAATAGTTTCACAGGGGTTAATGACTGTGTTTCTTTTACTACAATAAATTTTTAAAATTTAAATATTCACTGTATTTTTGATGATATCCATACAATTCAACAAAATAGACTTCAAACTAAAATTTGTCAGAAGAGACAAAGACTAATTACATACTGTTAAAGAAAAATTTTAATCAAGAAAAGATAGAAGTTACAAGCATATATGCAACAAATATTCCATAAGCAAATTCATATAATAAATAGTACTTGCTATAAAAGGACATATAGACACCAAAAAGTCACAGTAGTTGTCATATTTTGTGTTGTGTCCTCACAGCCTTATGTGGTGACAGGTGGGGCTTTTTCGGAGGTGGCTGGACCTAGAGTGTGTGACTGATTCATGGTACAGTGCTCGCATTAAGGGTGTGAGTGCTATCCACTTCAAGCACAATTAGCCTGGATACAATATAAGGGACAGAAAGAGACTTGTTGTTAGTTATTTATAATTTGCTGCTAGTTGCTTCCTGTCTTCTGCTTGACATGAATGTTCTTCCTCTGTGATGTCCCTCTGTCCTGCTACCCTGCCTTGCTGCCAGCTGTCTGTGGGCTGAAACCTCCGTAAACTGTTAGTCAAATAAACTTTTCCTCCTTTCACTTCTAGGTGTTGACCATTTTGTCTCAGCCAGAGAAAAGTAACTATGACAGAATTTAGTACCAGAGAAGTGAGGTCATTGCTGTGACTACACCTGATCATGTGGTTCAAGAGTTCAGGAGCCTTGGGAACTGACTTGTGGCAAGCATTTGGAAAAGTTCAGAGATGCAAGCTGAAAAAGCAGAGTGTTTGGCAAGATATGAACTCCAAAGAGTTTGAATGGCTGGGAAATTCCGGTCAGAGTTCAAAAGATCAGAAAGCTAACAGAAATGAAGCCAGTAAAGATCAGGCTTAGATTTCTTCTGGGAAGCACTGCATTGGCTGTTGAACTCCAGAACATGCATGCTATACTCTGGAAGAAAGTATATTGGCATTTTGCTTCTGTCCAGGGATTTTGTCTGAGACTAACAGTGGCAGACTATATTAATCTGGCAGAAGAAATTTCAAGACAGTCTAATGCTGAGCTTGCGGCATGGCTACCGATGAGGGATTTCAACAAAGAAAACCAAAAACTCAGCAGAATGATTTAAAACATTGTGAGTCTGGCCAGAAAGGAAGAACAAGTAAAGCTGTGGACTGCAAAGACAAAGTAAAAGAGATCTTGATTGAGGAAGGGACAGGAGAGTAGAAAAGATATCCTGAGGACACCACAAGAAGCAGCAGGACTCCACACACTGCAGTCTCAAAATTGCAAAAATGGATTATTTTGTTTTGAGAAGAAATATTCAGAGCACCATGTTCCAGAATGGTACTGTTCTAGAGGAGTTGTTTCTCAAGATTTGGTTCATAGGCACCCAACCACTAAAGCCAAGAGAGAAGGAAGCCCCATTCGGTACAGCTCTAGCTGGTGGAAGACCTTGACATCATCCACATAGTGCTGGTTTTAGGTTCATGCAAAATGCAAGAGTTGTGAGGTGAGGGAGGCTTCCATACATATTTCAGAAGAAAGCCTGGGAGGCCAGACAGTGTGCCTCTGAGAGGACAGGCTGTGAAGCTGTAAGTGTGAAGCAAAAAGTGCAAGGGGAGACTCCAAAAGTTTGGAGATGAGAACATGGATCATCTGAAGACAACTGCAAGGAGGGAGCAGAACCGGCCTAAGAGAGAAGCTGTGGGGGCTACAACCACCACAGTGCCATAGAAGCACAGCCATCCAAACCTTTGTAGTTCATATCTTGCTAAACACTTTCTCAGATGCTGGACATGGAAATGAAGAGCTTTATGTTTGCTCTGTTGGATTTTGGCCTTGCTTTGTTCTCATTCCTTTCTACCCCTCTCTTTGTACCCTTTAGAATGGAAATGTCTATCTTTTGCCATTGTATAGGAAGCGTTTAACTTCTTTTCATTTGTACAGGGGCTTGAAGCTAAGAGTTTGTCTTAAATCTCAGGAGACTTTGGACTTGGACTGTTCAGCAATGCTGAAACTGTTACAATTTTGGCAAGTTTTGGAGATGGGCTAAATGCCTTTTGAATAAATGAGGTGTATGAGTCTTCAGAGCGCCAGAGCAGAAGGTTATGGCTTGTGTTTGATGTCCCCCTAAAGCCTTATGTGGTCATAGGTAGGATTTTTGAAAGGTGGTTGGATCTACAGTGCATGATTGATTCATGGTGCTAGGCTAGGATTAATAGTGCTAGCATTAAAGGTGTAAGTGCTATCCACCCTAAGGTGAGTAGCCTAGATACAACGTAAAACCCAGAAAGAGGCTTGCTGTTAATTGCTTGGAGTATGTAGCTCA